AATGCAGTAAAGGTTCAATAAATGTTAGCAATGATTTCCCCCGTTAACCAAAATTGGACTGTGGTTTGGTATGGCTGAAGCATGGGAGATAGGATAGTAGTTGTGGAAAGGAACTGTGGGTAGAGAAGTGAGCAGTCACCAAACCAGAAGGATTTTATATGTCATTACCAAGAGGATGGATTTTATCCTACAGGCCAGTTTCTCAAACCATCCATAATGGGAGTGTGATCTTCTGTCCATAGGGGTTGAGGGTATGACCCAAGGTGCTCTCCAAAAACAAAATTGTTTCATTTCCTGCTTAATATTTAAAAATTAAAACAGGAATTTTAAAAATTTAAATTTTTAAAAAATTTAAATTTAAAAATTTTAAACAGGAATTTTTTGTTCTAGTCCATGACATGTTCAGTGGGAGGGAGATGGTCTTCAAACATCAATTCTTAGTTGAATGACTGTAAAATGAATTGACATCTGGAAGTAGTTTCAATATGCCTTATTATAAAAAATCCCAACCAATTCTTTGAGATGTCCCAATTCCAGTATTATGGTATCTTAAAGATGAGGACACTTCTCAAACCAAGTATGTATATCTCAATGGCTAAAACACTGTGAATTATTTAATACTTTGTCTTGGAACTTTAACAAATATGCTGGACTTAGGAAAATATCCTTACACAAAAAAGCAAAGAGAGGATGGAATAGGCTTGTGTTCGGATAATGCTGAAACTCCATTCAAACCGTAAAGTGATTAGGAGCCTTTTGGAACTAGCATTTGCCAGTAGCCTTCACAGGGCACTATGATTTAATGAATGGAAGTCCAGGAAACTCCCATCTTCACTCCATCTTCTTCATTCCTTGACTAGGCCAGATATCCACTAGTCACTGTCCTGAGGCAAGTATCCCTGCAACCACTTATGTTGTTAGCAGGACTCCCCTGGGGAGGAAGGAGAAGAATGGAAATCCTAGGGAAGTCAGGGAAACAGAGGTGGTCTGTCTTATTTTAGGGTTGGCTTTATATTCATGGGGTCTCTGAAAATTTCCATTAAAAAATCCTACTTTCTTCCCAAGAAATAGCTCTTTGTATTTGGTAGAAAAACCAACACACATTTTTCCCATGGTGCCAGCATTTTGTTAAAGCAAACAAGTGTTTAAAAAAACAAACAAACAAAAAAAAAACCAAACACACCAAAACCCCACAAACCAGTATGTCGAAGCTGGCAAGTAAAATAGACAATAGGAATTTGAAAAGTCAAACCAGAACAAATTTTTGAAAAGTTCACAGAAGGAATCTGGTAATTTACAAAGTATCATCTTCATGTTTATTGGGTAATACCCAGAGGCCAAACTTGATAGTTCATGTTCTGTAAAAGTCACATGAGAGCCTTAAACCAGAATGCTGCTTGAAAATGATGAGATCTTTGGTGATATTTCACTGAGTCTAGATATTTAAACCTCCTAATCTTATACATATGATTTATGTAAAGATGATATTTAGTCATAAATATACTTCTATTTATGCTTAGGCTGAATGATAGCTTAAAGAAAATATATCATAGTTGGAATTGGATTATAACCAAAAATATTATCCAACGAATATATTAAATAAAATTGAAAGTTTGGCATGAATGAGTTTGTAAGGCTAATTTATAATTTATTGTAAAATAAATTCAAATATATTTTAGCATCTGACAAGGACGGAAAAAAATGACACATCAAAATAGATACATAGCTAGGTAAGTAATTAAGTAATTATGTTAACATCTCACTAGTATAACTTACCTAAAACTCTATTTTATTACTATTTTCAAAAATAGATGAGTTTTTCTCTAGGTGACTGGAAAACTTGAAGGAACATATTATTTTTAAAGCCCAGTAACCAGGTTTCATCCTAGCAAATAAAATGGTGTTTTTCATTTGTGAGCTCCCAGTTGGCACAAACTGGGTAAGGTACTCAACATACATACGTTTTCTTTATTTTTTGTCACAACTCAAGTGAAAATTAAAAAATCTGCATATTGAAAAGTCTTTGGAAATGATCCTGGTGTTTGGGGGCAGAAAACTGCTTTGCTAGGAAACATTAGAGAGTATGGCACATAGATGGTGTTTGAAATATTGCTCCTCTTTTCCTCTCTCTCTGCCTCAAACTCCAAGGAAGACAGACGAGACTGGGAAGGGGAGGCGAGCAGCTTTGGTGGCTCAGGTGGCCTTCAGACCGGCCAGTCAGAAACTTCCAAGCAGGCTCCAGAAGAGCTTGCCGCACCCATCTATGCTCTTAGGGCCTTGACACGATACAACAGTGAACACCAAGGGCGGGCAAGCTTTGCCTATAAATGGTCAGACAGTAAATATTTTGTCCCAACTACTCAGCCCTGCCACCGCAGCACGAAAGCAGCCACAGGTAACCATACGCGATCACATGAGTGTGGCTGTGTTCGAGGAATACATTACACTGAAGTTTAAAGTTCAACATAATTTTCACGTGTTAGTCTTCTGATTATTTTTTTAACCATTAAAAAATACGAAAACCAGTTTCGGCTCCATGGGCCATGCAAAATGGGCTGCAGGCCAGACTTGGCCCATGAGGCACAGTGTGCTGACCCCGTCTGTACTGTGGGCGGGCCCCCAGGTCATTCCTCTCAGCCTTTACGAAGGCCCTCACCAATCTTCCTTTCGCAGGAGTGTCTCTTTCCTTCCTGCCATTGTTGTGGGGGCTGCAGGGATATTAAAAGTGACTCTTAGAAAAAGTTACAGATTTTTAAAATATCTTTTTTCTTTATCCAGAAGCTTTTTCCCAGGTTTCTTTTTTTAAGCATTTTTTTTAAACATTTATTTTTGAAAGATACACAGCATGAGCAGGGGAGGGGTAGAGAGAGGGAGACACAGAATGTGAAGCAGGCTCCAGGCTCTGAGCTGTCAGCACAGAGCCCTACACGGGGCTCAAACTCTCGAACCCTGGGATCATGACTTGAGCTGAAGTCTGCTGCTTAACCGACTGACCCACCCAGGCGCCCCGCCCCAGGTTTATTTCTTAAACACCTTAAAGAGGGCATTACAGTCTGAGTTTATAAAACTAGGTTATAATCTATTTTCCAATGTTTTTTAAGATTATTACTATGTTTTAAGGTCTACTACTATTGCTCAATAAAGCAGCCCAGGAATTTCAGGATTATATATTTTCATTTTTTAATAAACCACACGGCAAAACAATACTTTATTTAATAAATGTATAGGAAATTACAATTTGAAAATTGCAAATACAGTACATATACATATACTATACCTTGATCTTATATGGACAAACACCAGCTTCAAAATCTTCCTAAAATCAATCGTATGCAAAATACCTGGTTTCTGAAAGGGCAAATGGAAAAGTATATACAATTTCTTAAACTGTGATATGGCTTAATAACACATAGTTTTAGAGAAGCATAAGCTTTCCAAATATACAGAATCTTCCAGGTGCAAAGGTGACATACCGGCCATTTCGATTTTTCAGAATATACTTAACTGCAATATCTAAACTGACGCCATCATAGATGTAATTTGGAAAGTCTCCGTCAATGTTTTCCAGTCTTACCAAAAACCAGAAAATGTTTGTTGGTCCTTACAATATGATCAGAAGAGTAAGATCACAGCGTAAACCCTCTGTAAGCAAGAATTCAAGGATCAGATGGCCTGAACGCACACACGCGACTCAAGGAGGAACCCCCATGACAATTCCTCCTAATTTGCGGGCTCTGACAAACATCACAAAAAATATCCCTGATTGGTGAGCTATAAGACAAATCTGACACCCTCTCCAGCAAGATTCTCGTGACAGATCTGTAGTCAAGAGTCTGCAAATCATGTTTTGGTTAGAGACATAAAACTTAAATCGGAAATCAGACTCGCCTCCCCTCAACACAGCATATAGCAAGGCGTCACTCTTCATTTGTGACCAATACCCTCCTGGCTCATGAGCTAAGCTTGGTTTAAAAAGAAACCGAGCCAAATGAACTAATCTTACATCTATTAACACATTCTGTAACTTTAAATTTACTATACGTAAGGCAGAGTCAACAGCAAAATTGCCTAAAACCTTAAGGGGCTCAAATTCTGTAAGAACACACCTTATTCATTATGGTGAACCAATTCACATAGATTCATAAAGAGAAAATAAATTTACCTAATTGTGCTTGTTTCAGTAGTGAATGACTATCTCTTCTAAAGTGATGAGAGCAGTTGTTTAAGACACAACTCAGTCTCATTAGACTCTTCACTTATGGTTGTATAGTGTAGTCTCTTTCTATCATACTTATTCTGTAAAGTTCAGTGTGCAAGAGAAATCTGGATCAGGAACAATCAGCTGTTTCAAAAAAAAAAAAAGGGCTCTTCCTCACCTAGAAACACTTTATAAGTGGAGCTTTGTTTCAGAAAGATGGTCTTCCTCACATTAAAACGAAAGGGAAGCTCATGTATCTGATCCTGCCCGTGTCTATTCTGGGAAAATTCTACTAAAAACAAACACTCTCAGTGAGGACAACTGGGTTCAAGACACAGACCCAGAACACTGAGACTTTTAAGAGCAGGAAACTTAGTTTTAGAAAATGGGAAAAAAGTACCCAAATTTGAAATGAAAGTAAAATAAGAGATCCTGTGATTTGGTGAACAATACTGACGGAGCTGCAAGCTGCAAAACTCTGGGCTCACATTACACAAGGCACAGCTTACGGGAAGTGCATATGGGAATTCTATTTGCTTCTGGTTCTATATTTCAAAGCCCTCCGATAGATGCCTTATGCAACTATATTCCTAACATTAGATTTGTAAGGCAGCATGGTCGTTAATGAAAGAGGTCTTTTCCTAAAATAAATCAAAATGCTGCCTCTGGCCAGAGTTGTGACAGCCAGGTTTATATACACAAGTAACTCTGATTATTTGCAAATGTTAATTAAAATACATCTAACTGGGGGCACCTGGGTGCATCAGTTGATTAACTGTCCAACTCTTGATTTCAGCTTAGGTCTTGATTGCAGGGTTGGGAGTTCAAGCCCTGCACTGGGCTCCACACTGTATGGAGCCTACTTAAAAAAATACATCACACCGAAAAACTGCCCAGTTTTTACATGTGATCTGTTTTCTCAGTGCAAAATTAACAATGCAAGGTATTTATCCAAAATTACTCAGCGCCTGTGACAGGACGGTGGAGAACTCTTCCTGTGAGGGCTGCCTGAGGGTGTGACGCAGGGCTGCAGCTCAGCAGGGCAGGGACAGACCCAAGGCTCTTGGCTTCTGCCGTGCAGTCCCTGGTCACATCTGCTAAATTCACATTGTCCTCTGTGGGTTTTGTCAAGTTACAAAAAGTGAAATCTATCAGCTTTCAATCTCAGCCCCGGGGAAAGCACAAGTACAAAATCTGTAGTCCTCGCTACAAAAGACAAAGCACAGAGAACTTCATGTGCACCTCACTTAAACAAAGCACACTCATTAAAATTTACAAAAGTTTTCAATGTTTCTGCATTTTACAAAAGATCCTTTTCAATCCTCAAATGAATTTCAGACTGTTTTATCAAATAACTTTTTCAAGGAACAGGTTGATAGGAAAAGTAAGATCCACCTATTTAAGATAAGGGAAAATTTGCAGGAAACAAGCTCATGGGAAACACTTGCAAATATGGGGAAAGCCATTAGCATACGATGCATGTTCTTTTCTCTTGCTAGGTACCCAAAGTCCGTAAGTGCCCAGATGTCCACTGAAATGGTTATTTATTCTTATTTGCTTTCCATATTTTAGAGAATTTTCACTTAAACAGCGTATGCACTACTCACATTTTTGAAAAATCCAAATCATTATTTTAAATGGATTCACAACAAGAAAGTTAATTTTCAATTCAATAAACTGGGTTTTGCTAGATACCATTAACCCTCATCAATCCTTTTTTGGGGGATACCATCAACTCTTAATAATCTTTTAGGTAACTTCAGGTTTTATCTTAGGTTTACTTACAGTGAGGTACTTGGTAGAAAGATGAAATCTGTTTCCTCTCCTTCTTTGATATTATAAATCATCTGCATGTTTATCTAGGCTTCTAATTCACATCTTGTCTAGTAATTGTACTCTAATTCTCTGAGGACCTCAAGAACCATATCCATTCTTGGTTAAGAAACTGTCCCTGTGAAAATGGACTTCTAAAGTGCATAAAGATAATCTCAAAACCAACAGCTGCAAAATGAAACCTGATTTTTCACAGCTACCTCTTTAACACAACTGGTACCAATTAGGTTGCATTCCATCTGGAAAGTTTCAGGTTTAGCCTCCTTACGAAACAGATTGAATGTCCATCCCTATTCCTGTGTTTCAAAAAACACAAACACAAGGTCAAAAACCCTTGACGTTTTCTTTCTTTTTTAATGTCTTCTCTCTATCTCTTTGGGCATCTCTGCTATAGTATTATTGGAAAACCTCAAAATTCTATCTTAGGGTTTCTGGAGTCCATGGAGAATCCCTGATATCATCAAACAAATTCTCTCTGGAGGAATGTGGTTAATCTACATCTGAGAGAGAGGCATTACAAACTGAACCCTACCCTCCAGGGTTTTACCCTGAAAGGGCACACACTAACTGGTACGGAGGCGGAAGCTAGGTACCAAGCACACTTTCCGTTCTGACAAGGACAGAGGATCACTGATTATATTTTGCAAGTCTCCTGCTATTCTTAAGATAATTCCATGAATAATAAAAGTGACTGCAGGAAGACTTAAATCTGACATCCCACACTCTATCCTCACTCCTATATTTTAAATTACCAGAGAGTAATTTAAGATTAACTTCTGCCATTTAGAATAGTATTGAAAATATTTCCTAAATATTCCTAATGACAGTGACAACCACAACATGTAAAGATTTGGTTCTGATTAAGATTACAGATAACCAAAATGATAACTCAGAGCTTCAAAACCCTGTAACATCTGGAAAAAGCTGTTTATAAAGTATAACTATAACAATAACATTGTGAAATAAAACATTTCTGAAACACTTAGGAATACATGCTTATTCCACTATCTTGATAATTTCTAATATTCTCTGAAATCTGTTGAGAAATAATTTCTGTAAAAACATAGCTGGGTGTCGAATTCCAGAAGCTGGTTGTCAAGATTACATAATAAAAAAATTCAGTTTTCCAGCACTAGCTTGATAAAAAATGGTCTTTAGAAAGGATTTTTAAATGCAAATACTGAATTCTTGATGCTTCCTTCAAGACACGTACTCAGTCATAATTAACGAAGTGTGGTCTTGGATTGTCTTCTCTGAGGTATCTGTAGAATCACGTCTCATTCTATAAATAGTGTTTTGGAAACATCTTCATCTGAAAATCATGGTGAAGTCTCATTTTACCTTTAGACAGAAACTAGCACTGTCAGGCTGGAGCGATTGTTTTGAAAGATGGATTCTTGATACTGACACAGCTGTCAGGACTCCATTTTCTCTTGCAGGTGTGCACATTTATTGCTCTCAGGTCTGTGACTGCAGGATAAATAAGGCAGTGGTCCCTTAGGAAATCAGGAACTGGAACTCTGGCAATGTGCACAAGTTCTGTCCACTTCTTGCCTGTAACTTTGAAGCTGAACAGCACATTTATACATGCCAAATGTGTTCAATAATACGTGCTTTGCTTTGGCCTGCACTTCCTCCCATTTAGATGAACTTCCAGGAACTGCAATGTCAAGAAAATATCGTTAGTATTCATTGTAAACAGTTCCAATGACACCGAGAAATAATATACTTAATATACAGTGAACCTATTTTTATTAGATTTTCTCTCCTCTTGAAGCTACTCTCTCAGAGAAGCACACCAGCTTCGAAAGCCAAGGTGGCTTATTATTCCAATCTCCCTAGTCCACTATCAGGTAGGGAAAGAATACTAGATGTCAATTACAAGTCTTTTCTACTTAAAAAAAAAACAACAAGCCATATACATGTATTATTTTGATAAATAAAAAGCATCAATCTATGAAATGACCTAAAGATACAGAAACAGATCCAGTTTTTCTTATGTAGAAATAAAGCATAGTAAATACACTTCATGCTTTAATCTGAAGGCAAAGATCAATTTGTAATGTCTCATCTTAAAGAGACTGAAAATTACTGCTCTGCTGTCATTACTGATCTGCAACTCACCTTTTGAAAAGTGTGAACCCTCCCTTAAAGCAAATCTTTCCAGCAGAAACATTTTCATATTTACTTAAAAGCACAAATGTTTAATTCAATTCCAAAGGTAAAGTCCACCAACCCCAGGATTTACTGTCAGCAACATACTTAGCTGGATGTGTACTATAGCAGTAGGCTTTCCCGAAGTGAGAGACCAGATGTTTAAGTCTTCCACTGAGTATACATCGTCTATTTTCAGCAAGGCTTCTTTGATATAGTCTACATTCAAATGGCTTGGTACACCTATTAGTTTAGAATATATCATAAGTAAAGTTTATTTTGGGGAAAAAGTTATACATAACTGATAGAATTTTTTTTCTCCAAAGAAATCAAATGGCTTTACCAAATTCAGTTTAAATGAATACTTTAAAATATACTAATACTTTAAGATAAGGGGTACCTGGGCGGCTCAGCTGGCTAAGCAGCCAACTCGTGGCTTTTGGCTCAGCTTATGACCCCATGCAGGACAGAGCCCCGGCATGGGCTGGGTGCTCTCGCGCTCTTGCTCTCTAGCTCTCTCTGCCCCTTCCCCACCTGTGCTTGGCACACGTGTGCATGCACACTCTCTCAAAATAAATAAACTTAAAAAAAAAATCAAACTTGAATACTTCATTTAACAAATAAGCTAGGATAGTGGCACCTGGGTGGTTTAGTCAGTTAAGTGTCTGACTCTTGATTTTGGGTCAGGTCTCATGGTTCATGGGTTCGAGCCCTGCTGACAGCACGGAGCTTGCTTGGGATTCTGTGTCTCCCTCTCTCTCTGCCCCTCCCCAGCTTGCACTCTCACTCTTTCTCTCTCTTTCAAATATAAGCATTAAAAAAAAAGCTGGGATCAACATAAAAAGCAATGAAAAAGAACATTCAATGATAATGGAAGTACTGTTGAAAACTTGCATGCATATACATAATATCAGTAAGTAGGGATGTTGGACATATAACAAAGTAGCAAGGTAAATGGGAATCAAGGAATAACAGACAAGTAGACATAATTGTATTAAGGGTCAAAAGAGTTATATTTTTGTCCTAGCTCCACAGTTTATTAGCAGCATTACCTTAACTGCCCCTCTGAACCTCAATTTCCTTATTGGTAAATAGGGATAATAATGTCTACCTTACCTACCTTAGCTATATAAGGATCAAATAGGTAACAGATGGGAGAGCACATCAATTCTTATATTTTATATACACATAAAGTGGTGTTACTATAGCCTATAGTAAGCATCTGTAAAAAGACATGACTCCTATGTACCCTAGAGTGGCCCCCCTACCTCCAATCCGATTTAGGGAAATAATAAACCCACAATGGGGGATATTAGTGAGATCTTACCTTCTAGTATTATAACTATTGTGTCCCATATGATGCGAAATGTTGTAAAAGCCACAAGTAATGAAAATACATATGTACAGATGGGATCAGCAATCTTGTATTCTGGCTGAAAGGTGACAGAGCAAAATCGTATGATTAAGTATGGACTGACATAACAGACTGTAAAGCAAAGCCAGCCATACTGTCCCCCATTCTTTAGTTGCCTTCGCCAGGACTGAAGAATACCTTTACAATTTAGATACCAAGACTCTTTCCTAGATTGTTTAAATGCCTTTCCTTGTAAGACCTATTTCCAGAGGTTTAATCATTTATTCTACTGCTTTCCTCTGTGCCTTCCCTAAATCTTCCACTCAGAACCAGAGGATATCAGAGCTGGAATGAGTTTTAGCAGCCACTTATCTGATCTAGAGGGGCTCCTGGGTGGCTCAATTGGTTAAGTGTCTGACTCTTGGCCTTAGCTCAGGTCATGATCTCATGGTCATGGGACCGAGCCCTGCGTCAGGCTCTGCACTGAGCGTGGAGCCTGAGATGCTGTTCGCACGTGCTCTCTCTCTCTCTCTCTCTCTCTCTCATTGCCCCTCCCCTACTTGTGCGTGCCTGTGTGCACTCCCAAAATAATTAAACCTAATAAATAAGATTTTAGAGTTGAGGGACTTGCTCAATGTCAAAGTATTAAATGGCAGAGCCACAGCTAGAACCCAAATCTCCAGATTTCTAGTCCAGCACACATTCCAGTATATAGCAGTTCAGGGACAAGGCTTAAAATTGAGTGAAGGTGGTACTGAAGCCAGCTATAGGTAAGTTACTCTGTAAAATGATACTACTGCGTTTAGTGCTAGCGAAAGAGCTATACTGATGGCTCAATTAAGCCTACCTAACTAAATGCAAAAAGAGTAAGACTGGCTTTGGTGTCCAATGTACTGATAAAAGACAATTACCTTTAGTTTTAATATTGAAATTAAAGATATTTGAAAACAGAAACTCTAGCAATTTATTACCTTGAATCTTATGATGTATGCAGCTATTAGCACACCAACACTCTGTACCAAATCCCCCAAGGCATGTACAAACGCGGCTCTCACCGCCAGGCTATCCTGCCCATGGTTGTGTCTGCACCCAGAACCTACGGCAGGAGAATTTGAGGGCAGAGAGTGGGAATGGGCGTGGTGACCAGACTGGTTCAACAGAAACCCCATTCTGTCAAAAATAAAAGAAAACATCATTATTCTTCCTAGTAGTATTGATAAAAAATACATATTACTAATCAGACAATAATGAGACAACACGGACCTCATTCATTAATATGTATCTGAGCACCTGCTGTGTAGCAGGTATAATAACAACACTATAATAACTCTACTAGTTTCTGTTGTAGTAGAGAAGGCATAGAAGTCAACAAATCAATACATAAAATAACTGCCAGGCAATGCAACTATTTTGAAGAAAAGTAAAGCACTGTGAGGGACGGGGAGTGCCGAGGGGGTGGTGGTGGTGGTCAGTCACACAGGGCTTCTCTGAGATTCCAATCTCAGCAGAGACTCTAATCAAGTCAGGAAGCATGTGGTGGTGAAAGGGTGTTCTAGGCAGAAGGAATACCAGGGCAAAAGCCTTTAGATGAAAATGTGCTCTATGTGTTTCAAAAAAGCAAGACAGCCATTGTGGCTAGGCTGAAGTGAGCAAGAAGGCTAGGGTATGAGTTTGAGAGGTACACAGGATCTTATTAAAAAGGCAATGGTAAGGCCTTTGATTTTATTTTAGGTAGGAATGGAAGCCAGGGATTGGCAAACCATGGTCTCTAAACCATATGTGGCCCGCTACCTGGTTTTGTAAACAAAGTTTTACTGGAACACAGCCGTGCTCATGTGTTTACATGTTAAATGTGGCTGCTTTTGTTCTGTAACAGCAGAGTAGCGGCAAAAGAGACTGCATGGCTCTCAAAGCCCAAAATATTTACTATCTGGCCCTTTACAAGAAAGTATGCTGACTGCTGGTCCAAATGATTAAGTATATAACCTAAAAATTTCATAGTTTTCAGGGAAAAAAGTTTGTAGTTTAAAAATATCTTATTAATATAAAGTATTATAAAATAAAATTTTTAAAAAACCCTTTGTCCCACTTAAATTCCTCATGGTTAGTCAAACTTAAGCATAACAGAGCAAACTAATGAGGAATTTATAATTCCAAGCGTTTTATTAATATAAGAAAAATTACATATTTAAAATATATAATTCTAAAATACATAAAAATACCACTGCCCATTACTGAATGCATATATAAAAGTCTCTAAGTTCACAGTACTTAAAAATACTGATGTGAAAACAATAGAGTATATGACACCACAGTGTCCAAACCCACAGAATATATATACAACACCAAGAGTGAATGAACCCAAATGTAAACTGGGGACACTGTGTGGTGGTGTGTTCACGTCGGTTCATCACTCTGCGAAGGGATGCTGATAATGGGGAAGCTATGCATGTGTGAAGGCAGGGGATATGTGGGAAATCTCTGTGCCTTCTGCTCAACTTTTGTTGTGCACTTAAAACTAGTCTAAAAATAATGCCATTACATTAAAAAAGTAGAGCTTACATTACATTGACAGCAACTCCAACAGCTGCAGTGATGAGCATTATATCCCCATTTATTTCATATTTCATATGGATGGTTCTTTGGACAGCTTCATATAGGAGGAATCCCATAAGTATATATACCAACAGCACACTGATCATAGCTGATAAAACCTCTGGAGGGAAAAATATAAAAAAATAAATATATCTGTAGCATGGTTATTACACTTCATACAAACTGAACACTTCGCAATCTTTTATTTATATCTTTCCTCTAGAGAGACAAAAACACTATCATTTCTGTCATGTTATTTTCCTTATTTAAAATGTGTTTAGTAGTTTGTTCTAGATCCTCTGATGACTCATTCTCAGCACTCTCCACCTTTCCCTCATCTCTTTAGGGTCAAACTGTGTATATTTAACAAACCACACACATGGTAAAAAATGAAAAGCTGAAAAAAAATTACTTGTAACATACATGACCACAGACTACTTCCTAACAGAAGACCACACTTACAAATCAGTAACAAAGTGAGCAACCCATAACCAAAAATGTGTAAAGGACACAAATACTAATACACAGAAAATTAACAGAATTGACCAATTTATCAATCACAATACAAGAAGTTCAAAGAAGAATATGATTGCTTTTTGTCTTTTACTAAACTGATACAGATTAAAAAGTTTTGATAACAACCAGTTAGCAAGGATATACTGGTGGAAGTATCAAGTGGAATTATCTTTTGGAGAGCAGTTAGTAAAACGAATCAAAATTTAAAATGCATGTATTCCCTGATTCAAGGAATCTATTCAATAGAACAAACACATGATATGTTGCATACATATATCTACGTGGTTTTCCACTGTGACCTCAGGAGTATCAAAAAATATCTGGAGACATCTTAAATGTCCACCAGTGAGGAACCTACTGGATGAAGTATGGTATGTCCATATAATGGAGTATCCTAAAGCAGTTATGTTTTAAAAAACAAGGAAAAAGAAAAATAAATATCAGGCAAGTTGATAACCACAAGAAAGACAAGAAAGTGTTATATCCAGGAAGTGGGACTAGAAGCTTGGGGAACTTATTTTTCAATTTATTCTTTTCAGTAAGGTTTTAAATTTTACCACAGATAGATATTACCTTTAAACTAAAAGAAAACTATAAGACATTCAAGTATTCATGAATACAATTTGACACAGAAGTTCTTCTTGCAATGATATACATACACATTCATGCTAACTGAGATGCACATGTGCAAAATGAGCTGTTATGAAGCTGTTCATCAGGCACTGTATATATAAGAGCAAGCAACTGAAAACAATAAAAAAGTGATTAGTAGGGGCCTTGTAACATGGAATAATATGCAGCTGTTAAAAAAAGGACTCTAGCTCTATGTTCTGATAAGGAATAATCTCTAAGATACAGTGTTACATAAAAAAAACAAAGTACACAAGAGTGTGTGTGGTATGTCATTATTTGTGAAAAGAAAAAATAATATATAAATAATATCTGTACATGTAATCTCTTAATGGATATGTAAAATACTGACAAAAAAACGGTTATGAAAAGAATGGGTGGGTGGGAGACAGGGATGACTGCACTATATATGCTTTTGTATCATATAAACTTTTACCATTGAGTATACAGTAGAAAGAATTTTATATCTTTTCAAGATAACACAAATAGGGCAGTGGGAAGTACTTAAATTTTTAAATATTTAACCAACATTACAATATAAAACAACTGTTGACAATCAAAACAATAAAAGACAATATTGTAAAGAAAAATTTTCCAATCAAAACAATAAAAGCAAGACAATATTGTAAAGAAAAATTTTCCTTTAGAGAAACCAGACATTAATCTTGTCAAAGATAAAACAATCTGTGAAACTGTTATCTGAGTTAACTAATTGCTCAAAGGTTCCAGGCAGTTCAAATATACTGAACTTTGATACATTTTTATCCTGATGCATAAGTTACAGCACAGAAAAATTATCTAGCAGTTATAAGCTGTTTCCTGAACACATCTTGTTAATGTAGCCAAAACTCCAATAAAATCCTGTGCATCAGCTGAACAAATGTTGGAATAAGACAACATACAGTTCCTATTCAAAACCATGCTACGCCTACTTCTGACATACTAATCATCACACTTCAAAAGAAACAGGGGGTTAGGAAGAGAGAGACAATGTGAAATACACAAAGCTGTGGAGCGACTAGCATATCGAGTGCACACTTTCAGCAGCTTGAGGACAGGACCAGGTCCATCCTGGTCACATTTACTGTAGTACTCAACAGAGTGGTCGTTGCATAGCAAGTATCTATGGGTGGATCTGCAGAATGAAGTTAGTTAGGCTGAGCTCACAAGTTCCCCTTATGAGCAAGGGGAAATGGTGAAAGGCTATAAAATGAAGATGGGTGAGCTAAATTGGAGTAATAGGTTATTTACTATATCCCCTAAAACAAGAATTAAGTCAAATACAAGACAGAAAACATACAGAATTTAAGTTGTAACTGCTAATGGTAAAGTACACATATATATAATAAAAAGAAATAATTAAAACATCCTTAAACCGTAATTTCATGTAACTCACAGAGTAAGAGAATTTTCTCTATAAAATTCATATTTAATACCAATTCTGGTGTTCCTGGCTGGCTCAGACAGTGGAGCATGCCAACTCTTGATCTTGGGGTTGTGAGTTCAAGCCCCATGTTAGGTTTAGAGTTTACTTAAAAAAATAATACCAGGGCACCTGGGTGACTCAGTCGGTTAAGCATCCAATTCTTGATTTTGGCTCAGGTCATGGTCTCACAGTTTTGTGAATCTGAGCCCCACATCCCGCTCTACACTGACAGCTCTGAGCCTGCTTGTGATTCTCTCCTTCCTGATCCTACTCAGTCATTCACTTGCTCACTCAATAAAATAAAACCAATTCTTCTCAAACTCTCCCCCCTCCCCCACATCTTCCCCAAAAATAGAACTTCAATCATGTGTCAGGATGCCTTAATCAAATTTTTTAATATAAGATTATAAAGCAATACTTTATACTTATATAGATTCATAGCAATACAAGTTAATGACATAAAGCTGTGACTGCTTACAAAAATCTAAAACCAGTAATTAAAACTCCTTTCAGAACCTCCTATAATTAGGTTGACAATTCTTTACTTTTCTTGGGATAGTCCCAATATGTCTGTTGTCTTGGCAAAATTATTAAAAGTCCTCCACTTTACTCTTAAAAGTGTCCTGGTTTGGATGATAAATGATACAGTTACAGTAGTAGGTATGCCAGATGAAAAATACTGGATGTCTAGTTAAATTTGCATTTCAGAAAAACAACAAATAATTTTTTAGTATACGTATGTCCCATGCAATATTTCAGACATACTGAGTGTCTGCAAGAATGTATGTACGTAAACAACACATGCTAAATCTGGCAACTCTGCCTCCCAGTGATAATTTTCCTAAACACTTAAAATTACCTTACTGTGAACTTTCAGATAAGGCAAAAACATTCAAAATAAAGTAAAATGAAGGCACCAGAGTGGCTCAGTCAGCTGAGCATCCAACTCTTGATTTCGGCTCAGGTCATGATCTCACAGTTGGTGAGATTGAGCCCCATGTCCGGCTCTGCACTGATAGCATGGAGCCTGCTTGGGGTTCTCTCTCCCTCCTCCTTGCCCCTCCCCTGCTCACACTTGCACTCTTTCTCTCTCAAAATAAATAAATAAACTTAAAAAAAATAAAGTGAGGGGCACCTGGGTGGCTCAGTCAGTTAAGCATCCACTTTGGCTCAGGTCATGATCTCACAGTTTGTGAGTTTGAACCCTGCTTCAGGGTCTGGGTTGACAGCTCGGAGCCTGGAGGCTGCTTTGGATTCTGTGTGTGTGTCTCTCTCTCTCTGCCCCCCCCCCCTCAAAAATAAGTAAACATTAAAAAAAAAAAGTGAAAGTCAAACTAAAGCATGACTAGATTTTGGTAGGGAGGACTCCCATACTTAGAAGGCCCACTAGGGTTCCTGCCGCTGAACACAGTTCTCCACACCAGTTTTCACCCATGTGAGTAGCATAAAAGGGATCCCAATATTTGCCCACAGTTAAGAGTAATGGAATTCAGCTGTTTCTTAGAACTTTCCAAAATAACATATTAGGATCCTAATATCAATATCTCTTTTCCAGTAATCAGTAAGGAATGGCCTCATGTCTAGTTCCCTTGATGAAAAGCAAAGACATTCATCTGTTATTTTTCATCTAATCACCTGTCAAAATGTCTTCTAGACAGGATACCGATAAATGCAAAAAGGGAAAAAGAAAACCTGAAATAGATTTTTAGGGTTGAGATTTATAACTGAGAAGTATAAGGCACAGATGATAGTATATAGCTAAAAATCCTAATAGTAGTACTATGATCATTTCTTTTGATAAAAGCTCTTTGACTATGAACAGATGAAACTCTGGTGAAACATCATGAATGGGAGGAATTAGCGTTTAAAATTCTTTTCATAATATTTTTAACATGATGGAATGCAGATAAACATAGGCAAGATTTTTGCCCCCCAACATTTAAGAGAGAGGGAAGCTTTCCATCAACAACCACATTATGACTAGCTCCACTCCTCTCATTATTGCTCTGGGTTAGTCTCCGGTCACATAACATACAATAAAGGTTTTCAACAAAAAAGGAGTACATAACATACGGATTCTTCATCTTTGAAAGGAGACCCAGGGACTTTCACAATTGAAACCCTAGATTTCTGTGAAAGTTACTACTACAGTAGCTTTAGGTAAATCTGACTAAATGGAAATGTATCATAAATTGAAAACTCTTGAAAGATTTTTATGGAAATTCTAGAAAATCTATTATTATAGTAGTTCTAACATATTTTGCTACTTTACACACAAATAACTCTCTCCATCAGACTGAAATGTAGCACTGGAAGAGGAAGATGAATGAATATATGTTATTATAACATCACTTAGGTCTTTTAAAATATACCCTGAATTTCACATACAGAGAATAAACAATTTTGGTTTGAATGGCTAATGGTAAGAAAAAAAAATCAAATGGGAGAAAACAGCGATGATTATCAAGTACTATCAAGTTTTGATAGTACTATAAAATATGAAAAATGCATATTTTAAACATCTATAAATTGCCAAACCTAGAGGTTTT